CCAAGGTCCTGGGATGGAGCCCCAGGGGCTCCCTGCTCAGCGGGGAGTCTGCTTCTCCCTCCCCCACTCCCCCTGCTTGTGTTCCCTCTCTCGCTGTCTCCCTGTCAAATAAATGGATAAAATCTTTAAAAAAAAAAAAAAAACTAGGGAATAGACTAACCAGCAAAAGCAGAAAAAGCATCAAGCAGGGGATGCTTCTGAGAGTGATCCCACTTTTTTACCAGAATGACTTACTGAAGATCAAATAAATTACTTGTTTTGAACTTAACTGCACTCTTTCAAAAGAGAGCTGGTATAATTGTTGGTAAGGGGAAAAAAATTAGAAAGAGATAGTCTTTTTTTTTTTTTTTTTAAGATTTTATTTATTTATTTGACAGAGACAGAGACAGCGAGAGAGGGAACACAAGCAGGGGGAGTGGGAGAGAGAGAAGCAGGCTTCCCGCTGAGCAAGGAGCCCGATGTGGGACTCGATTCCAGGACTCTGGGATCATGACCTGAGCCGAAGGCAGACGGTTAACGACTGAGCCACCCAGGCGCCCTAGAAAGAGATAGTCTTACCATAACATCCAGCAATCACACTCCTAAGTATTTACCCAACTGATCTGAAAACTTATGTCCACACAAAACCCACACACAAATGTTTACAGCAGTTTTATTCATAATCACCAAAAGATGGAAGCAACTAACCCTTCAATAGATAAATGGATAAACAAACTCTGACACATCCGTACAGCGGAATATTATTCGGCAATAAAAGGAAATGAGCTATCAAGCCACAAAAAGACATGAATGAATCTTAAACGCACATTGTTAAGTGAAAGAAGCCTGTCTCGAAAGGCTACATACTGCATCATCTTAATTATGTGATATTCTGGAAAAGGCAAAACTAGAGAGATGGTAAAAAAGATCAATAGTTGCTGAGGTGGGGGAAAGATCATGGAAGAAAAAGGGGAAGGATTGAACTGGTGAAACAGGGATTCTGTACAATACTGTAATGATGGATACAAGGCACTATATTTGTTAAAATCCACAGAGGCACTAAATTTGTTAAAACCCACAGAACTTAAGAACACAATAAGCCAGGGGCGCCTGGGTGGCTCAGTCGGTTAAGCGACTGCCTTCAGCTCAGGTCATGATCCCAGGGTCCTGGGATTGAGCCCCGCATCAGGCTCCCTGCTCAGCAGGGAGTCTCCTTTTCCCTCTCCCTCTGCTGCTCCCTCTCCCTCTACTCCTCCCCCAACTTGTGCACTCTCTCTCTCCCTCTCTCTCCCTCTCAAATAAATAAATAAAATCTTTAAAAAAGAATAAGCCTTAATGTATGCAAATTTTTAAAATATCATTGAGGAGGCGGGAGGATCCCAGGACGGATGGCAGAAGATGACAAAACAATCTGTTACAAATAGATAAAGCAAGTCAATGAAGGGAGTGTGGGGCCAGGTTGGTAATTTTGATAGTGCTATACCTGTATACTAGAATGAAATCATTTAAGCCAATGGATGGCAGATGGTAGGAGACAGGTCTCTCACTGTTAAGAGTGAGAAATCACACTTAAAAAAAGGCGGCGGCTAGAATGATGCAATGTGGTAATGGATTTGAGTTGGAGACATCAGTATGAACTCACATTTAGCTTAACATAGTAAAGTTACACACAGGAAAATAATAATAGATACATGTATATACACTGGACAAGTATACAGATATCTATTTCCCTGCCCTGTCGGCTGGCAACACCCAGTAGCAATGAGCACACCTAGCACCTAGAGGGTGGCTTGTAATACCATTCTCCAATAAAAGAAACAGGGCTCCCTGGAGCCATGGTTGATTCTAGGGCTAGGGTAGGAAATAGAGAAGATAAACCTGGAACATCCTGTACTGCCAAAAAGTACAGAAATACTAGGGAAAAACCCACCCACAAGAATGGCGGAATGTCAAAGGAAAACAGGAGCTAACTGAAACAGCTACCAGTAGCCAAAGCGGAAACAATTTGAGCACTAAAATAAAGCAGTGATGGGGGCACCTGGGTGGCTCAGTCTTTAAGCGTCTGTCTGCCTTTGGCTCAGGTCATGATCCCAGGGTCCTAGGATTGAGCCCCCCATCAGGCTCCCTGCTCGGCGGGAAGCCTGCTTCTCCCTCTCACACTCCCCCTGCTTGTGTTCCCTCTCTCCCTGTGTTTCTGTCAAATAAATAAAATCTTTAAAATAAAGCAGTGATTGGGGCGCCTGGGTGGCTCAGTTGGTTAAGCGACTGCCTTCGGCTCAGGTCATGATCCTGGAGTCCTGGGATCGAGTCCCGCATCGGGCTCCCTGCTCAGCGGGGAGTCTGCTTCTCCCTCTGACCCTCCCCCCTCTCATGTGCTCTCTCTCTCTCTCATTCTCTCTCTCAAATAAATAAAATCTTTAAAAAAAATAAAATAAAATAAAGCAGTGATGAATTATAACCCAAAGTATAAGATAAATAACTATGAATCCATACTGATAAAAAATAATTGATTAGGGGCGCCTGGGTGGCTCAGTCGTTAAGCGTCTGCCTTCGGCTCAGGTCATGATTCCAGGGTCCTGGGATCGAGTCCCACATCGGGCTCCCTCCTTGGTGGGAAGCCTGCTTCTCCCTCTCCCACTCCCGCTGTTTGTGTTCCTGCTCTTGCTGTCTCTGTCTCTGTCAAATAAATAAATAAAATCTTTAAAAAATAATAATAATAATAATTGATTAAACAGGGGGGAAAAGACATATCTCTGACGTAGAAGAATTCCAAATAATTTATGCAGATACTCTGCATATCTTTCTACTCCTTAGGTGTGGGCTGTAAACAGAGACTTCCTTCCAATATGGAAGGGGTGGGGAGACCTCTACAGAGGAGAAATGTGACACACACACTCCCTCAGCCCAGATATTAAGGTCAACATCAAGTCATAAACCATGTTGATATTACATACCCTTAATATGATGTGATAAAAATAACTTATCGCCGTCGTCTTCCTCCCCCAAACGCACAACTACAATCTAATCATGAGAAAAACATCAAATACCAATGAAGGGATATTTTACAAAATACCTGACCAGTACTCATCAAAATAGTCTAGGTCACCAAAACCAGTCTGAGAAACCGCCAGAGGCAAGAGGAGACGTGACTACTAAATGTAAGGTGGTGTGCTGGACAGAAGTCTATAACAAGAACAGTAGATAAAAACTAAGGTAATCGGAATGAAATACAGATTTTAATTAATAATGTACCAATATTAGCTCATTAATATAACAAATCTACTTTAGTAATGTAAGACACTAATAACAGGAGCAAAAAGTATGTAGGAAAAAATTGCTAATGAAGGTTGTCTCCAAGCACATGAGAAACTATAAACTGCTTGAATATTTGAACTTTAAACAAACAAGTTCATGTTTTCAGTAAAGAAAAAAGGGCTTTTTAAAGCAAGAGTAGGGGCACCTGGTGGCTCAAGTCGGTTGAGCACCCAACTCTTGGTTTCTGTTGAGGTCAGGTCATGATCTCAGGGTCCGAACACTGGGCATGAAGCTTGCTTAAGATTCTCTCTCTCCCTCTCCTTCTGTGCCCCACTCCCCTCTCCTGCACACAAGTGCATGCACAAGCTCTCTAAAATAAATAAATGTTAAAAAATAAATTAAAAAGGGAGAGTAAAGCAAAGTAGAGAGGGTTAAAGTAGAAATGGAAAGAATAAATTTTCTATCCAAGCATTCTACAGTTTTTCAAAGGATACAGAAGTAACAATTCAATTTCACTCTCAGGTTTTCAATTATTGTCAATTCAGACAGTTACTTTTTTTTAAGATTTTATTCATTTATTTGAGAGAGAGTGAGCCGCACACACACAATCGGGGGGAGGGGGAGAGGGAGAAGCAGACTCCCCGCTGAGTGGGGAGCCCAATGCAGAGCTCGATCCCAGGACCCCGGAATCATGATCTGAGCCAAACGCAGACACTTAACTGATTGAGCCACCTAGGCGCCCCAATTCAGACAGTTACTTAAGCAATGAAGGAAAATGTCTAGAAATACATTTTTTTTTTTAATTTCCAAAATTTCAATAGCTTATTCACGAAATCAAGGCATTTTCAAAACTTAAAATGTTGGCCCCGCGGCACTTGGGTGGCTCAGTTGTTTGTTAAGTGTCTGCCTTCGGCTCAGGTCATGATACCAGGGTCCTGGGACTGAGCCCCACATCAGGCTCCCTGCTCAGCCTGAATCCTGCTTCTCCCTCTCCCATTCCCCCTGCTTGTGTTCCCTCTCTCGCTGTGTCTCTGTCAAATAAATAAATAAATAAATAATCTTTAAAAAAAAAAAAAAATGTTGGCCCCTAACACAGATACCACACAGATTCTGGTGAATCTATTATAATTCACTTTTATAACATTATTCTAGTGCATATGTTAAAGAGCATACCAGATTCTAGTGAATTATCTATGGTTCCACAGTGAGTAGATGGCACTCAACAATTTGTTAGTGCCAAACAAAACTAGGCAATCAATACACCTGTGCATTTTCTCCTTGATGTGTAAGGACAGGGAATACAGCAAATTTAATTTGCTGTCAGAAACTGTCTGATCACAGAGATATGTAGGTCAGTACCTTCCCCTCTTGAGGATGGAAGCCAAATCACAAGTTATTCAAGAATCCCCTGGAACAGCCAAGTGCAGGCTCACTCAAACATCACCACCTCCATCACTTACCACATTAAAGACAATAATGGCTTTCGTCTATGTGAACTCCAGGTAGATAACTGACTTTTCATGAAGGAAGTTAAGTGGAGGAGAGGGCAGGGAGCTGGTGTGAGTCTCTAACAGCTTATTTTCTTTCCCTTAATATCCTGAGGGACTAGCCCTGCAGTAAGACGATCATGCTGTATTTTTGTGAAGCTCTGCCAGCATCCCTTTTTACGAGGGTAATAAAGAATTTGTTTAAAGAACAGCAGTGGATAAGAGCTTATACCCTTGAAACACAAGGTTAAGAAGAAACATCAACTTGATCCAACTTACAAGAGTTGTGCCGACGGCGGAAACTTTTGGACTGACTCAGGGACTCCGTATGCCTGTCCACATAGCTCTTTGAGCACTGCTGCTGCTGTGGGGAAACAGCAACATCCTGACTCTTCACGTCTGTCCTCTTAGGGATATTCTGAGGGGCACTGCTGGAAGAGGCTGGCTTCTTCACCAGCTTGCCCGTGCCATTCTGATTGATACCCACTTGGTACCCAACACCAGATGGGCCTAATTCTGTCTGATGAAGGTCTCCAAAATGTTGGTTTTCTCCAGGACCTGGTATCTCCAGAATTTTTAATTCCGTAATGTCACCTGCCCTGAAATACACAAAAGAGTCCAAGTCTCAAAACTGTAATAGTGTTACAACCAATGTTCATAGCAGCATACTTCATAATAGCCAAAAGGTGCAAACCCAAGTGTCCCCTGTAAGATGAATGGATAAACAAAATATGGTAAAGACATACAGTGAAATATTTACTCAGCCTTTAAAAGGAGGCAAATTCTGACACGTGCTACAACATGGATGAACCCTGAAGACACTACTGCTAAGTAAAATAAGCCATCACAAAAGGACAATTATTAAATGATCCCACTTATATGAGATATCTAGAATACTCAAATTCATAGCGAAATAAAGTAAAAAAGTGGTTATCAGGGCTAGAGGAAGGGGGATTGTAGATCGTTTTTATGGGGTATGAAGTTTCAGTGTGGGAGGATAGAAAGTTCTGGAGATGGATAGTGGTGATGGTTGCACATTATGTGAATGTACTTAATGCCATTGAACAATGGTTAAAAGGGTAAATTTTGGGGCGCCTGGGTGGTTCAGTCGTTAGGCATCTGCCTTCAGCTCAGGTCATGATCCCAGGGTCCTGGGATGGAGCCCCGCATCAGGCTCCCTGCTTGGCAGGAAGCCTGCTTCTCCCCCTCCCACTCCCCTGCTTGTGTTCCCCCTCTGTCTGTCTCTCTCTCTCTCTGTTAAATAAACAAATAAAATCTTTAAAAAAAAAAAGGTAAATTTTATGTTGTGGATATCTTACCACATTAAACATACAGGCAATGTGAAAAAAAAAACACAAAAAGTCTAACAGTAATAAAAATGATGAAACTGGGATCAATAGCGACCAGCTACACTTTTGCAGAGCTGTATTTTTTTTTCTAACTGAAGTATAGTTGACATACAAATCCAGGTATACATAGTCATCTGATATTTATATATACCATGAAATGATCACCACCATAAGTCTAGTGACCATCTGCCACCATATAAAGTTATTTTATATTAATGACTATATTCCTTATGCTGTACTTTACATCCCTATCACTTACTTATAACTGGAAATCTGTACCTCTCAATGGCAGGGCTCCAATTCACTGAAGTATCAAGAGACAAAAGTGAGGAAAGGTGGTAAAGTACTTAAAGACCAGGTTCAGGCACGAACAGTCAACTGACACAGCACTGGCCTTTAAAGAGACCTACTGTTAATCACAAAACTATCACCAGCATCTCAGATTTCCAGAATGCCCAATGGCTTTCTTTTTTTCATTCATCCACTCACTTTGTCACTCAATAAGCTTACTTACCATATGGTAAGCCCTGTGCCAGGAATGGAGTAGACAGAGATAAAAAGCAACACATGCCCCAAAAGGAACAGTTTGGTCAGTGGAAAAGACAAGTAGACAACCAAAAGTGTTAAATACTATGACAGAGGTGTGTATAGGGTACCAGAGATCCCAGAAGCAAAATACGTAAGTTACTTTGGCAGAGATGGATGAAACATTTAAGCAAAGCCTGAGTGGGGAGGGAAAGTAAGAGTTGGCCCTGCAGAGTACAGCAGGGAGAGGGGCATCACACACCAAGGCTCAGAGATTGAGAAAATGTGGCCCACTTGAGGAACTGCCAAGTCATGGTGTTACTAACAGTAAAGATGCTTCTGGAGGGCCACCAGGAGGTAAAGCCGTGGAGGTAATCGGGGGCTAGATCATAATCACATCAGATTTTTCTGGTGGCTGTAGAGAAGGTGGAAAAACTAGAGGGAAGAACACCCATTAGACCAGGCAAGAAATAAGAGGGGATGAATAGGTCAAGTGACAATGCAAAGGGAGAGAAGAGGATGAACCCAAGAGACGATCTGGAATCCCCAGGGCTTGGCGACTAACTGAACATGAGGAACAAAGAGAAAGAATGATTTATAATGATTCTAAGTTTCCAACTTGGAAAGGTGTCATTAGCCACCAATTAAGGGCAGACCTTTGGAAAAAGAAACCTGCAGGTGACATAATGAGTTCAGCTTTGAAAATCTTAAATATAAGATATTTTCTGGGATATCGACCTGGAAATGGCCAATAGACAAAATAAGTGTCTGGAGTTCAGATAATGGGTCTTAAAGATTTGGAGTCTCATGAATGTAAGAAGTACACATGAAATGGTTTAGGGAGATTACAGACTAAGAAAAGAATCAAAAATAAAACTTGAATAAACCAATCTTAAAAAGTGAATAGAAGAAAAAGGAATGTGGTGCCAGGGGGATGTAAAGGAATGGAGGAATACATGGAAAGAAAACCCAAAGGGGTGACAGAGAAATTAAAGAGGGCACTTCAACACGTAGGGAGCATCTGAATAAAGTTAACATTAAGACACTGCCACTGAATTTGGCTATTAGGTCATTTATAACTTTGGCAAGAGCTAGTTCAACAAGATGATAAAGTTAGAAAAAAGTAACAGTGGCGTAAGGAAGGATTAGAGAACAAGGCCACAAACGGAATGAAAGCAGACTATTCTGCTCTGAAAAGAACTGTTGGTATAAACAGAAGGGAAATGACAGGGCAACACCTAATGGCAAAAGCAAGCTGTGGAGGGTGTGTGGGTGTGCCTGTGTGTAGGTGGCTGTGGGTATGTAGGAGGGTGTGAACTGTGAGGGAAGGCTGGGAACGTTAGAACGCGAAGAGGAAAACAGGTATGAAGGTTGAAAACGAAGACACAAAAGAGATAGAACAGTGTCAAAGGAGACAAAAAAGGATAGTATAAAGCACACGGGGTAAGGGTAGCCTTAAACACAAAGATTACGCCTTCTACTGAGACTTCAGATGGGGTAAGACATTAATAATGGATACTCCTACAGAAAAGATTAAGTGAAGGTATTGTTCAGAAAGTCTTGTCTGACAGTTTTGTTGTTGTTGTTGTTGTTGCCATTTTAACCTAAGAATGGGAGATTTTGTGACAAACTGGTGAAAAGAGGGATATGAAGACAACTGAACTTGAGATCCGCCAACACTAAGAAACATACGTTCCTGTAACTAAGGACGTTCCTGTAACTAAGGACATCAGCTACTGGTGACAGTGCACTTCTGAAGATAAATTATAATACAAATCTACTAAGAGAGATACATTTATGTGTTGGGGGAGATCAACAAAGGCCTTAGATATAAGAAAACACAAATAATAAAAGCCAAAAAAAATAGATTACTCTGAATTTGACCCATTTAAGTAAGAATACTGAGTGCTTGACAGAGATAAAAAGGTTTCACAAACCCTGGTTCATTAGCTGAAAGCTAATTACGACACAAAGTCTATACTGAAACAGCAGCTAGACTATAAGCGTTAAGACTGCAAAAATCTCACCCCTGACAAGACACTCCTCAAAAGCAGCCCTTTGTAAGAGAACACTGGCAACTGGACCTAGATTCAAGCTCCACAAACCACCACACTAGACTTGAAGAAATCAGTCAGGACACTCACCTGAAGGTGACTTCTGGCACGAGGCACTTCACTCCATTGTGGAAAGGCCGGGTGAGAGAAATGGTCTGGCTGATCTGATCCACTGCAGACACTCTTCCCTGATACACCCCCAAGCTATCTCCACAGTTGATGGACACAATACTGCCCAGCCAATCTGTAGCCATGTTTCTGATATAAGACCACTGTAGAGAGAAGGAGCCATGCATATCTTGAGAAACACACAAACCTTTAATTAAATTCAGCAAATATTATGTCAGGCTCTGAACCAGGTGTTGCTTAATAATACATATTCTAGGGGCGCCTGGGTGGCTCAGTCCATTAAACATCTGACTCTGGATTTCGGCTCAGGTCATGATCTCAGGGTTGTGGGATAGAACCCCGGGTCATGAAATAGGGCCCTGAACTCAGTGGGGAGTCTGCTTGGGATTCTTTCTCTCCTCTCCCTCTATCCTTCCCCGCCTGCCCCCCTTCCCCCCCTCCTGTGTGCATGCACGCTCTCTAATACATTAATCTTTTTATTTTTTTTTTTTTAAGATTTATTTGAGGGTCGCCAGGGTGGCTCAGTCGTGAAGCGTCTGCCTTCAGCTCAGGTCATGATCCCAGGGTCCTGGGATCAAGCCCCGCATGGGCTTCTTGCTCGGTGAGCCTGCTTCTCCCTCTCCCTCTGCCTGCCGCTCCCCCTGCTGTGCACGCGCGCTCTCTCTCTCTCTCTCTCTGTCAAATAAATAAATAAATAAATAAATAGCTTTCAGTGGGAATGCAAACTGGTGCAGCCACTGTGGAAAACAGCACAGAAGTTCCTCAAAAAATTAAAAACAGAACTACCCTATGATCCAGTAATTGCACTACTGGGTATTTATTCAAAGAATAGATATGGTGTGTATACACACACACAATGGAATATTACTCGGCCATAAAAAGAAGAAAAAAAAGAATGAAATCGTGCCATTTGCAACAACATGGACAGAGCTAGAATGTGTAATGCTAAACAAAATAAACCAGTCACGGGGCGCTTGGGTGGCTCAATTGGTTAAGTGTCTGCCTTCAGCTCAGGTCACGATCCCAAAGTCCTGGTATTTAGGGCCGCATCTGGATCCCTACTCAGTGGGGAGTCTGCATTTCCCTCTCCCTCCGCCCCCTCCATCCCACTGCTCTCTCTTGCTAATAAATAAATAAAATCTTAAAAAAAAAAAAAGATAAGCCAGTCAGAGAAAGACAAATACCTTACGATTTTAATCATACATGCAATTTAAAAAACAAAACAAACAAGGAAAGGGGGAAAAAAGAGATCAAATCAAAAACAGACTCTTAACTATACAGAACAAACAGATGGTTACCAAAGAGGAGGTGGTGGGTAGGTGGGAGATGGGTGACATAGGTGAAGGGGATTAAGAGTACACTCATCTTTTTTTTTTTTTTAAGATTTTTGTTTATTTATTTGACAGAGAGAGAGACAGCAAGACACATGCAGGGGGAGTGGGTGAGGGAGAAGCAGGCTTCCCGCGGAGCAGGGAGCCTGATGCAGGGCTCGATCCCAGGACCCTGGGATCATGACCTGAGCGGAAGGCAGATGCTTAATGACTGAGCCACCCAGGCACCACCAAGAGTACACTAATCTTGATGAGCACTACTTACAGAATTGGTGAATCACTATACTGCACACCTCAAACCAATATAACACTGTATGGTAACTATACTGGAATTTTTTTTTTTTTTTTACTTTTTTTAGTAGGAGCATGCATCTTAACGAATAACAATATCATTTAATTTTATAATTGCTTTAAAGAGCAAATAGTAAAGATAATATTTACCTAGACATCAAATCATACAAACTATAACTTTTTTATAGCTAAGTCCATTTTGACAAGAAAATGGGAGGAATCAGTCTACCCAATGTCAAGACTTACTATATAGGTATAGTAATCAAGACTATGTGGTATAGGTAGGAGAACAGATATATAAATCAATGGAATAGAGTAGAAAACCCAGAAACAGACCCACACAAAATAGGCCCCAAACTGATTTTGATAAAGTGCAAAAGTAATTCAACAGAGGTAATACAGCTTTTACAAATGGTGCTGGAGCAAATGGATAACCATCAGTAAAAAATAAACCTTGACCTAAGTCTCTTAATTTACACATTTACTAAAAATGACTATAGACTTAAATGTAGTATGTCAAACCATAAAACTTTTAGGGAAAACATAAGAGAAACCTTCAAGATCTAGGGTGAGGCAAAAGGTTCTTAAGATACCAAAAGCATAATCTATAAAAACACAAACTGATACACTGGAGTTCTTGTAAACTAAAAACTTTTGTTCTGTAAAAGACCCTTTTAGGAAGATAAAAACACAAGCTACAGGCTGTGAAAAAATATTTGCAAACCACATATCTGAATAAGACAGAGGACTAATATCTAGAATGTATAAAGAACTCTCAAATCCAAGTAGTAAAAAAAAAAAATTATAATAATCCAATTTAAAAAAAAGGTCAAAAAACACAAAAAAGACATTTCAACCTAGAAGATATACAGACAGCAAGCAAGCAGATGAAAAGATGATCAACATCATGAACCATTAAGGAAATGCAAATTAAAACTACTGTGAGGTATCACTACACACCCACCAGAATAGCTAAAATAAAAAATATGGACAACACCAAGACCTGGAAAGGAAGTGGAAAAACTGGATTCCTCATACATTACTGATGAGAATGTTAAAATGATGCAGCCATTTTGGTAAACAATTTGGCAATCTATAAAAAAAATATAAGCATGCAACTACTACATGACCCAGCAACTGCACCACTGGTCAGTTTATCCCAGAGAAAGGAAGACTTAAGTTCACACAAATAGCCCCAAACTAGAAACCCAGATGACCTTCAATGGGTGAGTAGTTAAACAAACTGTGGTATATCCATACCATGGAGCAAAAGTTAAAAAGCCAACCCCCAAAGTTACATTCTATATGATCCAATCTGTGTTAACATTCTTGACATGACAAACTACAGAAAGGAAGATGAGTGGTTTCCAGGGTTTAGGGAGGGGTGGAGGCAGGAGGGAAATGAAGATGGCTATAAAAGGGGCAACATGAGGGATCCTTGTAGTAATGGGAATTCTGTACCTTGACCACATCAATGTCAGTATCTTGGTAGTGACACTATTATAGAATTGGAAGGTGTTATCAATGAGGAAAACTGGGAAGGGTATATGGACTCTTTCTGTATTACTCCTTATAAGTGCATACGAATCTACAATTATCTCAAATAAAAAGTTTAATTTAGGGGCGCCTGGGTGGCTCAGTCGGTTAAGCATCTGCCTTCAGCTCAGGGCATGATCTCGAGGTCCTGGGATCGAGCCCCACATCGGGCTCCCTGCTCAGCGGAGAGCCTACTTCTCTCTCTCCCTCTGCTGCTCCCCCTCTGCTTGTGCTCTCTCTGTCTCTGTGTCAAATAAATAAATCATCTTTAAAAAAAAAAGTTTAATTTAAAAAATCAATGTCGGGCGCCTGGGTGGCTCAGTCGTTAAGCGTCTGCCTTCGGCTCAGGTCATGATCCCAGGGTCCTGGGATCGAGTCCCACATCGGGCTCTCTGCTCTGCGGGAAGCCTGCTTCTCCCTCTCCCACTCCCCCTGCTTGTGTTCCTGCTCTCGCTATCTCTCTGTCAAAAAAAAAAAAAAAAAACTTTAATAAAAAAAATAAATAAAAATAAAAAATCAATGTCTTCTACGACATTAACAAAATAAATGAGGAAATTGTGTATGTTATCAATAAATGCAGAAAGATAGGGGCACCTGGCTGGCTCAGTCAGTAGAGCACGCAACTCTCGATCTCAGGGTTGTGAGTTCAAGCCCCACATTAGGTTAGAGATTACTTAAAAATAAAATCTCAAATAGATAATATGGGTGCCTGGGTGGCTAAGGTGGTTAAGGGTCTGCGTTTGGCTCCGGTCATGATCCCAGCATCCTGGTATGGAGCCCCACATCAGGCTCCCTGCTCAGTGAGGAGCCTGCTTCTCCCTCTGCACCTCACCACCCTCTTGTGCTCGCTCACTCTCTCTCTAATAAATAAAATCTTTTTAAAAAAAGCAGCACAAATATTGGAAAGAACTAAAAACGTCTTCATTTGTAAGCCCTATGATTGACTGTATATGTAGAAAATCCTAAGAAATGTACCAAATAAAAAAAATCCTACTAGGATAAATTAATTTAGCAAGGTCACAGGATCAAGCTAAATTAAAATAAACTGTATTCTTTTTTTTTTTCAAAGATTTTATTTATTTTGACAGAAAGAGAGAGAGACAGCGAGAGAGGGAACAGAAGCAGGGAGAGTGGGAGAGGGAGAAGTAGGCCTCCGGCCGAGCAGGAAGCCCAATGCGGGGCTTGATCCCAGGACCCCGGGATCATGACCTGAGCCGAAGGCAGACGCTTAATGATTGAGCAACCCAGGTGCCCCTAAAACAAACTGTATTCTTTATAATACCAACAAAAACTGAAAATGAAATTTTATTTTTTTTAAGATTGTATTTATTTGAGAAAGAGAGATAGCAAGAGACAGCACAAGCAGGGGGAGGGGCAGAGGGAGAAGCAGACTCCCTGCTGAGCAGGGAGTCCAACACGGGACTCGAACCCAGGACCCCAACCTGAGCCGAAGGCAGACGCCCAACCGAGCCACATAGGCACCCTGAAAATGAAATTTTAAAATACTATTTATAATCATATTAAAAAACATAAAGTACTTAGAAATAAACCTAATGAAAAATGTACAGAACTTCTATAATGAAAACTACAAAAGACCCCTGAGAAAAATTAAAAGACCTAAATAGGGCGCCTGGGTGGCTCAGTTGGTTAAGCAACTACCTTCGGCTCAGGTCATGATCCTAGAGTCCCAGGATCGAGTCCCGCATCGGGCTCCCTGCTCAGCGGGGAGTCTGCTTCTCCCTTGGACCCTCCCCCCTCTCATGCTCTCTCTATCTCATTCTCTCTAATAAATAAATAAAATCTTTTAAAAAAATAAATAAATAAATAAAAGACCTAAATAAATGAAGAGATGCACTACCTTCATAAGTCAAAGAGCTCAATGTTGTCAATTCTCCCCAAATTGATCTATGGATCAAACACAGATATCAATAAAAATCCCAGCTGAGCTGGTCTTTTTGGAGAAACTGAAAAACTGGTTTTAAAATGTATTTGTATATGGAAA